TTACCACAGCATTGTCCAAATTTTCGTCGCCTGCGCCACTAGAGCTGCCGCTTTTGCGATTACGGAGTTTGAGTATTATGAGGAATACGAGATTTTGTAAATATGAGAGAAATAATTCGTTCTTGACATCTAGGAGGGAGATACCGTCTTTTGGAGGAATTGGTGCAGATAACTTCTCGGTAGACTCCAATGCAGATGATAATGCCTGTGTGAGGGTATCCAGCAAAGCTGGAAAAGATGTCTTGGTCGCCATTTTTTTGTTTATGTTGTTGAAGAAATTCGATGCGCAAAGAAAATAAATTTTTGGGAAAGCTCGGCGATAAGCGGTAAAACGTTATTCCGAGATAGCTTTCTGCAACAAGACGCCAGATATTGTCTGGAGGCTCCAACAATTAGCCTCCTTTCAACCATTCCACCCTTTGGTGTAAAGTACAACACGGTATTTTTGCCCAATAGCTGGGGCCACACTAATATTTGCAAGAGCATATGAGCAAATAAATATAAGATCTGCGCGGATCCGTGTCTACAGGTTCCTGAGCCAGAGGTTGTATACTCGTAAGCTCATTAACCCTTAGGAGAAAAACGAAATCATCGCGTACATTTTGGAAACATCGCTAACATTCTCTCCTTTTTGTAGAATCTTACCATCATGCGTTTACGGGGCTTTTCATCTGCGGCGATTGTATCGACCCTCCTCACAATACCACAGCTGTCAGCAGCTTTCTACCTCCCAGGAGTTGCGCCAACATCATACAAAGAAGGGGATGTTGTGCCGTTACATGTCAATCGACTTACGCCTGTAGGATCGCAAGTTGATGGCTCTTTGCGCTCTGTCGTATCTTTCGATTATTATCACAAGGCATTCCACTTCTGTGCGCCAAAAGGGGGTCCTAAAGATGTATCTGAGAGTCTTGGCAGTATATTATTCGGCGATCGGATTAGAACATCTCCTTTTGAGCTATTGATGGGGAAAAACGAAACTTGCAAGGAACTATGCGATGTTAAGTTCGATCAGAGTTCGGCGCACTTCGTTAATCGGAGGATAGCACAAGGATTTGCACTCAACTGGCTCATTGACGGATTGCCGGCTGGACAATTGGTTGTAGATGAAGTTACTGGAACGAAGTTTTACAGTCAGGGATTTGCATTGGGACGAGGTGATGCAAAGGAGATGCACTTCAACAATCACTATGATATTGTGATCGACTACCATGAAGTCACCAAAGGACAATACAGAGTGGTTGGGGTTATTGTCCAGCCAGATTCGAGATTGAGCCCGAAGACAGGAGATGGAGGAGCAGTGCACAATGCCGGAATGTGTGGTGTAGGTGGGCTGCCCTTGACTCTGTCTGAGACAGCAGAGACCCCCATGAAATTCACATACAGCGTATACTGGATTCCATCACCAACTGCTTGGGCTACCAGATGGGACAAATACTTGCACGTTTTTGACCCGAAGATCCATTGGTTCTCGCTCATCAACTCTGCTATTATCGTTATCTTCCTCACGATTACTGTCATATCGATTCTTTTGCGAACATTGCGAAAAGATATTCAAAGATACAATCGCCTGGACTCGATTAATCTGGATGACCTCTCTGGGACATCTGCTGTTGAAGATGGTGTACAAGAGGATTCAGGATGGAAATTGGTGCACGGAGATGTATTCCGCGCACCAGGTTCTCCACTCATACTAAGTGTGTTCCTAGGAAATGGAGCGCAATTATTCGTTATGACAGGATTTACCATTGCCTTTGCTTTATTGGGATTTCTCTCGCCCTCCAATCGTGGATCTCTTGGTACTATCATGGTCTTGCTATACACAGTCCTCGGTTTCATCGGTGGTCACGTTTCCGCTCGCGTTTACAAAGCATTTGGTGGTGAGCGTTGGAAGCTCAATATCGCGCTTACCCCTATTATGGTCCCTGGAATCGTGTTTGGGACCTTTTTTTTCTTAAATCTTTTCTTGTGGGCTAAAGAATCTTCCGGGGCTGTCCCATTTACCACTATGCTTGTTATTGTGGTCATCTGGTTCATCATTTCGGTACCTCTATCCTTCGCTGGTAGCTGGGTTGGTTTCCGACAACCTGCTATTCAACCCCCTGTTCGCACCAACCAGATTCCTCGCCAAATCCCACCGAGCACAACATACATGAAGCCAATCCCATCAATGCTTCTGGTCGGCATTCTGCCATTCGGAGCTATTTTCGTAGAGCTTTACTTCATTATGTCGTCCATTTGGTTTAGCAAGGTCTATTACATGTTTGGTTTCCTATTTCTCTGCTATGGCCTGATGATCATCACCTGTGCAGCGGTTACAGTACTTATGGTCTACTTCCTGCTCTGTGGCGAGAATTACCACTGGCACTGGAGAGCGTTCATGACAGCCGGGGCATCGGCATTCTACGTGTTTGCCAATGCTTTGATCTACTGGGTGACAAAGTTACAATTAGGTGGCTTAGCGGGAAGTGTTCTGTACATTGGATACAGTGCGCTCATTTCTTTCTTGTTCTTCATTCTTACTGGTATGGGTCCCTCAATATTCCTATTACGCGCCCTACTAACATCACATCAGGCTCAATCGGATTCTTTGCCAGTTGGTTGTTCGTACAAAAGATCTACGGCTCCATCAAGGTTGACTAGAGAGGTCGAAATGAGCTTGAAGTAAAGAAGTGCCGGGTCGAGGGGAGCAGTGAATGAGGATGTCGGACAACATAATGTACTATAGAAACGACTTCAAAATATTTGGCATTTTTGGTGCGTAGGCGAGCGGGTTGGCGTCCGTAGGGTACTTCCGGCTGTACGGTATATAAATGGTTCTCATCTTTCTGCGCGTATGTTATCAGGACTTGAATGCAAGGAACTCGTGATTGCCCTGTGATGCTTGAGGCTTCTTTTTAACTATATCTGATTTATTGGAAAACCTGCCTGCACAAGTAAATTCTTAGTCATACGCAACCTGTAAACTTCATGGAGCTGATTAAAACAAATTGATATTTCTGCTACCCTAAGACTCGAAGGGATGTCCCCGAATGCCACTAGTCCCGCACGTTGAAAATTTTAGAAACAGGGACGAGTTTTGGCATCGGAATATTTCTGCTTCTCTCCATCTTTTGAGCTTCCAATACTTCGTTTTTAGCCTTGGACGATATCAGGGGACATCTTAGTGGGAAATATTGACAATAACAAGCAGGCATCCGCCTCCCATATATTTAACACATGTCCTTAATTGATTCTTCGACGAACTTCAAATATCACTTCCACGCCCTCCTGAAGAGCAAACATACAAGCATCCTTACCGAATCTCCTCATATGTATCTCCACCTCAACTCTATACTCAAACTTCCCACTCTACGCCTTCACCACAATCCCACCCCCATGATCTAATATTTTCACAGAGCTCCTGGTACTAGTATTCGCTGCTATATTCACTATCGCTCTTCAAGGGAGTTGAAAGATATTTTGCTATTATTTTAAGTGCGACTATTTTGACTACAGTACTATAAGTGAAGTTATAGCCGGAATAATCGGAATGGCTTTTTCCCCCACTAGCGACGATTCCAGATTTTCTATGTGATTATATATCTCACACCACTTTACCTCACACTATTTCGGGTTGCCTCTAAGTGTCGATATTTGAGCAGCTCCCTCTAATATCTGTCTTGAATTATTGCTAAGGTTGGTGACGTTGGGATATTTATACCTAGAAGTGCTTAGCGGCGGCAGTTTTTGATTCGATATCGCTCATTTTGCTAATGGGTTAAAGTGGCTTCAAGGAGTAGTTCGTTGCGTTTATCGCTGGTAGCTAGGTTTCCGGGATTTCAGTTCTGTTGGATCTAAATAAGAAAATTATTTTGAAGATAAATCACTTTTGGGAGGCGCAGGTTTATCGGTCATGTGGGAGGGGTTGGTGTTGGGCGTTTCATAGCTGATTGGTTTAAGAGCCTATATTTCGACAGTTTCTGTTTTGGATACTGAGATGAAAGTTGGTACAGTAAATCCATATACTATCATGGATACTACATTTGATATTATTTACCACAGCTATCCTAGGAAAAGAGAACAGCGTTGTTTTGCCTGTAGGAACAACCAGCTGTTTCCTAACTTCCTCTGCCATATTATATCATTTTTCTCTAGCGAGGGGTTCTGAGGGAACGGTGGCCCCGAGAATACTTTGAAGGCTTTTATCAGTGGGATATGCGTGGCGATACTGTATATCATTGAAGGCAGACTGGTTTGCCACCTGACCTATGTGTATTAAAGGGAATTTCAAGAAATGAGCGGAGGCGAACGAGACGCATGAATTGTACTGTAATGCGAGTCCGGTCTCAAACTATTGGGCAAGTCAAGTAGTTGCTCTAGATTGTATTTTTTATATTGATCATCACCGTGACAAGTTGAGTCATGGTGGAAAAAGGTCAAAGGAATAATAAAACTCCCATCATTTCAGTTGAACTGTTTTTGATATCCGGCTCAGCGATTCTTTATGTACCCTAATAGAGAAATCCCCTGCCTTTCTATGTGAATGCAAATATTTATGTAATTCGAATTCCCAATTATACATTTTTGTAAGTGTTCGGAAATTTGATACAAAAGCCTTTCTTTCACGTGACCATCACCGCAAAACTTCTTGTGACACTTTAAAATATTTGAAATAATTAACCACGACAGAGCACAGACAATTACCAATTGTCGTTTAACAAACAATAAACGCCTATATGATTGTTTTGTTTCACCAGACAGTATCAAAGAGTTAGAGCCTGACTGGGTGAGGATTTCCAAGGGCATTCTCTCACTCCAAAGATATTAAACAACTACACAATATACTTAGCTTTGGATTTGCCAATGGACCAAAATAAATCTAGCAAAACGCTGAATAGAGACTGCCAAATTAATGGGAAGTTACTTATTTTATATATAAAGTTCAACAGATTTCTTCCTCGAGACAATAACCGCTTTTTCAACTAAACAAAGCCAGGGATTAAAAAAGAAAAACAATCCGACATCGGCAGGATTCGAACCTGCGCCCCCGAAAGGAACAGCTTGCAGGATAGAATGTAATACATCAGAGTTTACTCTGTGTGCCTCAATTCAATTCTAGGCTGTCGCGTTAACCACTCCGCCACGATGCCTATGATTTGTGATTGGAGGCGCTTATTTAACATCACATAACTTATTTGTGGGGTGTGTCTTCTAGGTCAAAAAGGTGAAATGTAATTGGTAGGGAAAAGCTCAAGTGGGGGGCGGGGGGAATAGCACTCGTTTACATGGGGTTTTGGGAAAACCCCACGACCTGGTTAGAAGATATTCTGGGTTGTGTCCTTTAGTTTTGAACACTTGCTAAATTGTATTTATTCATACACCTTTCTAATATCAAAAGCACCCTGGCTTATATATATACATATAGCTACTAACGGCTGAAATAATTATATGACACGTGAACGCAATGCACCTCAAGATACTTTAGTTAGATATATAAAGGGATACGCAAAGTCTTGGGAATCATGTAAAATCACGTGTTATGCGCGTGGTATATCAAGTCCTAATTTTGCCAATGCGACACTCACCACAACAACACAATACACAATACACTCATTTTATACTAATATTTAAGTCTATCACTCCCTGACCCAACGATTGATTCAAATAAAATTCTCTTATTGCATTCCCCTAGCTGTCCCTTGACGAGTCTTTTCTATGCATCAGATCCTGTTACTGTTCCTGCCCTCTTGGTGCGGAGTGATTAACTCCTTCCCGCCATATAGAATATCATACTAGAAAGTGATATTCAGCCAATTAAAATTAGAAGCTCATAGCAAAAGTAAAAAGGAAAGAAGAGGTATCTATTGTGTATTATAGTTGTAATAGATTAGAAGCCGTTAAGGTCTCTCCTCTCTATTTCAACGTTCCAAACTCCAAGCCAAAAGCATTTTATATATCAAACAAATTCAAGTTCCTTCGGGATCCCATACCAATCACAACAAGAAAACCGCCAGGCTCCCTTATGCTTTGGGAGGTAGAGCCATCTGAACATGATTTGTACGAACCATGGGAAAGGTGGCCAAACTGAGTCGTGAATTGGGCTTTCAAATGTGAAGTCCATGTTTGTAAGAACAACGGGAACTTCATGCTCCTTGATTGAAAGTTAGTCTGAAAATATCGCAAAGGGGGTCCTAAGGTTTCTACCTTCTCAGCAGTCTTGACAGCATGATCACTAACCCTCTTATTCCACATTTCCCAATTAACCTTATCACCAAACTTGCCTAGCCCCTCAAGACTCTCGATTTCCTCTTTCAAGTGCTGTGTTAATATTGATCCAAAGTCATCAATCAACCCTCTCACTTTCTCAGCATCGAATCTTTCCTTTCCTTCTTTCACAGCCTTAACATAATCCTCGAACTTCTCCATCCCAGGGGCGAAAGCATGGTGTTGGGCTACATTCTTCTCCATATATTTTGGGACCCCAATATATTCTTCTAGCCACGGGAAGAAGAGGTTCTCCTCGTTGGTGTGGTGTTCATGGATTAGAATACACCATGCGTACATGAAAATCGAGAAGTCCTTGATGTCTTCTTCGAGCTTTACATTTGGTGCTTGGAGGTAGATGCAGTTTAAAATTCGGATAATGAAATTGTGGACGAGTGCCATTTCTGTGGCTGCATTAACTGCGCCAGATGCTTTTTTAGGATCTGTTATCTGCATATTTGTCAGCTATTAAGCAGTTCTGGTTATGTACATGTGAAAGACACACCCCTAGGCGCTTTCTGGGAGTCTCAAGGAGTGCGAAGGGGCTATCAGCCCATTGCTTTGTGATTTTCGAAGGTTTATGACCCATTCTTAATGTTTAATACACCAAATACCAATTGAGGTAGTGTGGAAAACTGGCTGAGACTAGAAAAGGGTCAAGTAGTATAGGACACTTAGAGATTGTGAAGAGCTTGAGAATGGATGGGCTAAGGAAAAGCGAACAATATTTAAAGATTTCTTTGTGCCTCACCAAAGGTTGATCCCCTATCAAGCTCACTGTCCAATCTTACCTATTCCGGATCTTATTCAGCACAGAAAAGAATGCATTGTTTTGTATTGGATGGAAGCCGTGATAAACGCTTGTGTGGCTTTTCCAGTGCTTACTATCAGCCCTATTTGGACGCCGCCGTGGTTATGCCCAAATCCAGTAACAACCAATGCCACTTTCTTTAACCCAATGAAAGATTGGGTTATTTCGACCCCCAGAACTCGGACTTCAGATGATCCGACGTTATGTCTGACACGTGGGGCTGAATCTGGGGATATGTTCTCATCAGTTTGACCAGGTTTGACCTTTGTGGTGGCAGTGGTGGAAGAGGCTCTAATTTGGCTGGCTGTGGCCTTCATGTGTGCCTCTTTGGGAAGAACGAAACCCTGCTGCCTCTCTGTCCGTACCGCGACATGATGTCACTGTGAATCAACAAAACAAATGTCGTAAAGTTAAAAGTTTACATGGAAAGGCTGCGATGCCAACAGAAGAATTTATTCTGACCATCACATGACCCCGCGATTCACCCTAGCTCAAGTCTCCTTTGTCGCGAATCTGCCAGAAACATCAACATCCTCAAACTGCAACATGAATCAAGTAATTGACAGGCGTTTTGAGCGCTTAGACAAAGCCCTTGCAACCCTAATCACCTCGATATCGACCTACAATCCCTCGATAACGAATGCAAACGACCTCGTTGCTGCTGATGCCGAGCTGAGCCAAGGACTCGAACAATGTGGGCTATTTACCACATTCTCTTTAAGCGTAGGGTGATGGCTAATAATTTAATAGTATCGACACATCAATCAAATCATGGAAAGATTCTGTCTTTACGGGCAACCTCCCAAGAACTCGATACACAGATTCGTGAGACCTTAACACTCCTCACTTCGACGAGAGCAGAACTTCTCTCAACCCCAGCTACCACATTCCCTACAAACGCAAATACAGTTGCGTATTCTGAGTTGTTAGAATATGCGCGGCGGATAAGCAAATTTACTCTACCAAGCACATATCGTCAATCAAATGGCGAGGTTGGGACTGGGGCAGACACGGGGGACGCAACTTCCACGAATACACCGAAAGAGTCAAAGTCCGAAACACAAACAAATGGAACAGGAACCCCTGTTACAGTCGCTAATGGTATAGATACACAGACAAGTGCCGGGACAGCTATGGATATCGATAGTAGTGCCACTCCAGCGGCCGGGATTCAGCAGCCTTCGCAAAACATGTCAAGTTCTGCAAATATATTGCCTCCAAACTGGGAACAATACGTCAATCCTCCTCCGGACATCTTTGTGCCCTGGCCAACGGAATACACCATTAGAAGGGGGGCATTAGCCAGCATACAGATGTTGATTGATCAAGGAAAGGATCCCGCAACATTTGATCCTGCACATAGTGCCGCTTTAGAGGAAGAGAGGAAGAGGCAGATAGAGGAGGAGGATAGACTAAGGGAAGAAGAGCAGCTCAGAATGGAAGAGCAGAGGAGACAAGAGATGGCAAGGAGAATGAGCGTCAGCCAGGGCGCTCCCGCTGCGAACGCTCAGAGGAAGCAGTCCGTGTTCCAGCTGGAGACATTCGACGACGAAGAAGATGATTGAGCACGAGCAACCTACATAGGATATCTCTGGATATCACACATGCCATCCGACTATACAACTTCTCTTGGCTAACAAAATTCCAGCGATACTTTTCTCTATCTAGTGATAATTACATCCCAAATTTAAATACCCTCTACAATGATATAGTTTCGCTCCTCCAAACTTTCATTCTGATTGGTTTCATATAGTCAAAACATAACAACGCTAGGTTCTGTACCTCTGGTTCTAGAACCTATTTCGCAAGTGCGAAATTTACCATTATTGTTCGCTACTTTGGATTTTTCTTTCCGCATCATAATCAAACTTCAGCCTAGAACATGGGACGCTAGTCGACACATGCAGCTATTGCAGTTTCTCAACTGAATATTCGAAGTTCATGCTCTCATTTAAATCCTTTCGTTCTCTTAAACTGCCAGACCGCTCCTCCAGAGACAGATGTGTTCACTTGCGAGTATCCAAGCACACTTTCCACAAACACGAGCACCAACATCGCATTCACTTCTCTTCCCCGTGTTGCTTCCATCGTCAACGTATCATTCATCAGTCCTAAGCCAAAAGACGATTCCAGCACTCTGATTTCCACAACTGGAGGCTAAATAACAATAGTTCGTCAGCAAGTACTATTCATGATCTGATCTGATATATGTTTCAGAAGGTGAGATGGTTTGTGCGTACCCTGCTGGCTTGATTCACATTTCCTCTGCACCACCTCCTCAAGTACTCCTCCAAACAACTCAGACTCGGTGAATGGCTCGCTTCTACGACTACTCTACCCCGCCCTTCCTGTCTCACCACGAGCCAGTATGGTGGTTTTTGAGTCAATTCTTCTGGTCGTTGAAGTGTCGAAATGTGTGGTAAGCTGTCGTATTCTTCTACTTTTGCTGGGCCGACAACCTGTAGTGGAGCGATTGCGGGGGAGTCCAGAGTCGCCCAGTCTCCTGTCTCTTCTGGAACCTCGCGGTTAATACGGGCCGTAGCTGGTTTTGGAGGTTCGTTGTCAGGATCCGTAGAGAGACTCAATAAATCTTCAGCGAACCCTGCTAAGATGTAGTGAGCCTGCTGAAGTTGGGTTTTTGGAAGCGCGATCACAAATACAACTTTGTCTGCTCGCCATGCAGTAATTGGCCTGCTGGACTTCTCTGAGATCTGCGACAAAGGTTAACAAAGTGTCTTTCTTCATAGTAAGAGTTTCTTTATATACCTCAAGCACTATCTCAAGTCTTGCCCTAGACTTCATGCTCTCAAGCAATCCATCCACTTGCTCCTGGTTTTTATCATCTTCAAGCCAGGAGTTGAAGGCCTCACACCAAGTTATGACTATGCTGACGATTCCAGGAACAAAAGTGGAATTGTCAGGAAAGAATTCTTGGAGTGTTTTCCACAGCATAACCCATTCTGGGTCGAGGAAAATGGGATAACCCAAGAGACCCTCAACTTTGGTCGTAGCGGCTTTCAATGGAGTGTCTGCAGACGTGAAATGATCACGAACGTTCTGCTTGATACGAATTGG